AAGAATTGGAGCATGATTCATGGAAGCAAATAGTCATAAACGCATAAATGAATCATTCAAGCAACATGATACTAGATCCATCAAATTTTAAGGCAAAAATTAGATCTAGGAAAGATTAAACTCTAAAGTGACAAAAACTCAAGATGAACAAGATGAACACATGAACAAAATGAACCATGGATCAACATTCAAAAGACAAGATAAGGAGCTTATCTCTTGAAGACCGAAGCTCTTGATACCACTTGATGAGATTCAACTTGTGAAATCTCAAGAATTCCTTCAATGCTTCTCGGATTCCATGAAAAGTTGTCAAGGAAGAAGACTCCAAGTTGCACCAATGTGACCTAGGCTTGCTCTAGCCAAGTCCGGAAGAAGGTGAGTGATCCTAGCTCTACAAAGAGAGGAGCTCAAGAAGGGTAGAGAAAGGATCAAGTGACTTTCGGAGGGAGAGAATTCTAAGAAGAGAAATCTCATGTATATAATCCAAAAGTCATTACAAAGCCCGGCCATTTAGAATATATAGGGAAAATTAGGTCAAATGGAACCATGGGTTAGCCTAAGGTTAAGTGAAACCATGATATGGTTTACTTAACCTTAGGCGCCCAAAATTTGAATTCAAAATTCAAATTTTGGAGCCAAACCTGGAACCACACCATGTGCACCTCATTTGGAATGTAATTTACCTTCCATTTGAGTTGCATCTCGGTCACACCATGTGCATGTGTGCACATGGTCGAAATGCATACCAAATGCAAAGTGAATTACATTCTAATGAACATTCACATGCAACCTTAATAAACCCTAAATTCAAATGACCTTGAAATGAAATTCTTAGTCTAATGGCCGGAAATACAAGGCCTAAAAGAAATACAAAGCCCTAAGGCCCAAACCTATACTACAAGATAGGCCCATGTAAAACTCCACTTTGGACCATCCAAGCCCATTGGGCCTATTGGGCATTGACTGGCCCAAGTTATATGAAGAGAAGTACCTTTCCACACCCAAACACTATCAAGCCTACCCAGCAACCAAAACACAAGCCTACCTATAAGCCAAACCATTAAATCCACTAGCTTACCACCCCTCCTTCCTAATCCTAATACATCTCCAACCACAACAACCATAAGAAATACCAATATTAAGAAAATAACCCCTGCTGAGGTGCAACTTAGGAGAGAAAAAGGCCTTTGTTATACTTGTGATGAAAAATTTTCCCCAAGCCATAGGTGCCCCAACAAACAATATTTGCTTCTCCAATTACAAGATGAGGACTATGGAGAATTACAACCAAAACCTCCAGATATTGAGCATAGCAAAGAATTACATCTGTCCCAAGAGCATCATTTATCTTATAATGCATTAAAAGGAGCCTCCGGTTTGGGTACAATGAAGTTCCAGGGTTCTGTAAATGGCATAACAGTACAAGTGTTATTAGACAGTGGCTCGAGTGATAATTTTTTACAACCAAGAATAGCTCATTGTTTGAAGTTGCCTATTGAGCCAATTCCAAATTTTCAAGTTCTGGTGGGAAATGGTAATGCCTTATTACATGCCAAAATACTAGTTAGTAATTAAGTCAATTTATGCAACTTTTTTTTAAGATACCTTTGATCTTAAATAAAATTTTATTAATTTTACTTTTTAAAAGTTTTTGTTTTAGCCGAAGGAACATATCATATTACATGAAATTGTTAATATTATTTTATAAATAATATATGTATTTATAAAAGAATTAAAAATATTCTTATTTTACAACTTCCTTTAATAATAAAAAAAACCATAGGATTTTTAAATCTACCTTTATTATATGTTGAAAAAAGAAAAGAAAAGAAAAGAAAGAGGGCCTTAAGACGTTGTCCTATTGCAACGTTGAAACACATTGAATTGGGTATCACTTGAGACAGAAAAGGTCTACAACTATTCTTAAATAAAGAAGATTAGAAGAAAAAAGAAAAAGGAAAAAAAAAAGGCATTTCAATATTTTTTTAAATAGAATTTGAAAACATTTAAATATGAAGGGAAAATGTAACAAGTTTATATAGTTGGCTGTTTAAAATATTTAATAGTTAATGATATTAAAAAGTAAATAAAATGGTTACTAATTAAAAACGATTAGATCAATAAAATATTTTTAATATTACATATTAATTAACAATTTTCTTATGTTATTTTTACTAGTAAATATTAATAATACGTAAATTCTTTTAGAGCTCCAATATATACATCTGGATGCCTAAAACAAGTGCATAAGACTTGCTCTTTGGTTCAAACAAGTTTATAAAATAATTAAATAAATCATAAGGTAATTGAAATAATTAGCCAAAAACAATCCAAATCAAATTTACAAAGTAATAACTATTCAAATTTAAGTTCGCAAATTTGAATAAATAAACTCTAAGATATCACATATCGTTGAAGCATTTTATTAAAAAATTCTGATAATCAACTATACAAAAAAATCATAGTAAAATATACTAAAAAAGGAGAGGATAACGCAGATTTTTTTCTCATGAAAAAACTTAGAATAAGAGATTGACTATAAGTCTACGATTGACTAATTAATTATGATTCAGTACAACTAACTGTACGTTGTGGATTCTTATCCAAGAGAATATGACAAATCCTTTGAAGTTAAAAAGAGAAGAGAGTATAAATAATTACTTAACTTACAATAAACACTTTTGACCCTTCTTGGTTCAAATAATTAATGCTTTTCATAATATTTTAGAATAGTGCTGGACATCATGACCTCAGAAAGGTTTCAAAGTCTCAACCATAATATTAAAAAACATTCTTAATTTCTGAAATAAGCCACCTAGAATTATTGTAATGGTAAAAATGCTATGCTAGAATTAGAAAACATTTCCTTTGTGATAAAAATTAAGTTGGACTTTATTTACTTTTATTTTAAAATAATAGGTTTATTATTTTTTAATTTCATATATTAAAAAGTAAAAATACATGTTTCAATACTATGAAATAAATAATCAAACACATCATAAAAGATCCAATTGCACTCACAAGTTGCGTATGAAATTTAGACTCATTATGGCTGGGTACATAGGTCTACACGTATACATTATTACAGTACTACAAAACATGATAAATTCAACGTAAAAGCTATACATTATAGTCTAGCTAGCTACCATTTTGTACGAAAGGAACAGAAACTGTATCTCAAATGATAAAAACTTTTGTCGATACTTAATAACACAACTGGCCAGATATACCAAAAATCTATATATATAAAAAATTACAATGAATCATGACCAGGCTTGAAGGTTCAAGTTCAGATATGATGTTCATATGATAATTTTTTTAAAAAAAAATTGTTAAAAGTGACTCTAAAATTAGAAGTCATAACAATTAACCATCTAAATCACTATGTGCCATCTATTTTTTAAGTTATAACATAACCACAAATCTCACACAAATTAGAATTAGGTGTCTAAAATCTATTAACCAATTATATTATTAGTAATTTAAGTATTATTAAATTAAATTATGATAATATTAACATTTTTTTAAAAAGAAAAAATGACAATTACAGTCCTCAATAATTTATAGGTATGAACTTTTAACCAATAAAAAAAAATGTAAAGGAGTATGTTAGTATCGCTCTTCACATGATTGATGATCATATTATATAGGAAGGGCTTCATTTATAGGCTATAGAACTACAAGGGACTGGAAACCAGGCCCATCCATGGATCCCAAATACCTTAATGTCATGCGAAAAACAGGTGTAGATGGGCCTCAAAATATGAGGATCTTTATGCTGCAACCCCAAGGGACTTTGATCCTGTGTGCTACATAAAAGAAGAAAATGGGGTTGTCAATGTTTATTGATATTTCTTTGTTTCTGCTTCCAACAATTTCTAATTTGTACTAGCCTCTTAATCCTACTTCCTTTTTTCATGATTACTAATTAATGCTTGAAATTGTTCAAAATGTTACTCTTTTACTGGAGTAAGATTTAAGCTTTTGGTCATGTTCGTCCAATGTCCCAAAGTTGCTAATCATGGACTAGTCTAAGCTTGCTGAATGTGACATACACCAATGAGAAATAAATTTGGGATCACGAAGTCAACATCCTGATTCTGTATAATGTATCTTAGAGTAGGCTTTATATATAATTGTTAGACTAAGAGACCTGATTATACATTTCTTATTTGAATTTGATATAGTAATTAGTACTTCAAAAGTGAAATTTAAGTTACGATAGAGAAAATAAAATTATCATGAAGTCAAAAAGAAATTGATGGCTAAGCAGAATTATAGGTCGTACCGTCCTATATTTTGTGGGACATCGCCATCTTTTAGCGTCATGTTACTGTTACTTATTCATGATTTTGGATTAAAAGAAGTTCTTATATCGTGGAATTTAATGTGTACCTCGTTAATTACGTTGGTCATTATTGCCTCTCACTTTAATAACATGTTAAATAGGGTAAAAAGCAATATTGTTTCTGATTCTAATAGCAACATGTATTTAGATGCCACTTGGCACTTGCTGCGTCCTGCCACCTGTGTGTGAAGTTTGTTTACTTTAAATTTGGATGCCATATTGTTGCAATCACATTGGCACTCATCACAAAGAAGTTGAATGTGACCATGCAGAAATTTTCATCAATCCTAGCTTTCCCTTTTCATATACATTCAGGAGACTCTCTCTTTCTCTCTATTATATGTACCTTAACTTCTTTTTCCATTATATAACCCCCACTATCTCCCCCCTGAACAATTACCTACCTTCTCTTTGTCACCTTGAGCTCCAAAAAGTTTTCACCATATTTGCATATTCACATTCTCAACTATTACCCCTTTTACTTTGTTGTTCACCCTTCTAGCGATGCTTCTTGGATGATTTTCACGAGGCACTTAGTTTTGCATGGCTGGTGATACAGCATCTTCCTTCTCCACTTGCTTGGTCCTCTTCTTATCTTTGCTCCTTGTTTCTCACTTCACTATGGCCATCCTAGAACAAAACTTCTCTCCTTTAACATCATCTAACAAAGAGGGTACCAAGAAGAGGAACACCAAGGTTGCTGCTTCAGCAAGAGAACACAGTGCACAACATTCCAAGGATATGGCACTAGGAGAAAATGGCAAAGGCAGCATTCATGTTCCAAAGAGAGATCACTCTCAATATCCAAGCAGGATCTTCAATGCTAGTGCACATGAAGTCCCAAGTGGTCCAAACCCAATTTCAAACAGGTAAATTCACTAGTAGAAGAAAGAAGATCCACTAGAAAGAAAAAGGAAAAGGAAAAAAAGAGAAGTATTATTATGAACCAAGAGGTGTATGGCTTTCAGATTTTTTTTATCTTTTTCTTTTTTCCCCTTCCTTTGGGTTTTGTTTTGTCCATTTGAAAGGATCAATTTGGATTTCTAAGGCTTCAGAATGGTTTGGTATCAGTGAAGTCTTATTTTGTTCACATTGTTGTTCTGAAATTGGAAGCAGGATCATGTACCAATGATTTAAACATGAGAGGATATGTGTATATGAGATTCTATACTTGATGTCATCATTAGGTTATGTTATTGGATAAACACAACGAGGAAAGGGACATGATGATTCAAATTTGTAATGGTTTTGGGTCCTTTTGTTTATGACGAGGAGGTTGCTCTCAATGCACACTGTAGTGAAAGGAGAAATGGAGTAGGGAAAAGAGCCAGCAACCACCATTGTTTTGCGTGAAAAAGTTTACAAGGATTTGGCATCCAAGGTAGCCTTTGAAGGGTCAATATCCCAAAATATCCTCATCATTTTCTCTGGAACTCCCTTGGTACCCTTTGTCCCATTCCTTTAAAACTGAAGCAAAACCATGGCTGGCTGACTCAACTCTTACATATATCTCCATCCAGTGTCTCTTTCTACTTGTTGGATTGTGGTAGAATAGTACAAACATACCTATCTTGTTCATTAATCATTAGAAACTGACAAACATAATTGGAAAAATTGCTGGTTAATTTTCGTCGATTTTGCTTGTCTAGAAGTATGTATTGTCTAGAGGTGTGTATTGTATTTTTGGTAGCCATATCAGTACACTCTTGAATCATGATTTCAAAAGTTGGGATAAAGCTACAAAGATTCCAAAGTGATAAGCATCATAAGCTGTCCTTTTACATTTTGTGGGAAGAAATATGTCCATATTTCAAACAATTTGCCAGTTCCGTTTACTGAATTAGATGTAATTGAAGCAGTGCATGGAAGACATTTTCGATCACATAAAGACATTAAACATAAAAAAGTAGAAGCTATATGTTAACGTTTTCTATTTCCACTTTATTCTGTATTTTCAATAGTTTGCATAGTAAACATTGAAAACGACTCTTAAGTTTTAATCATTTTTATGTTTGTTTTCTGTTTTGTTTTTTCTTATATAAACTTTAGAAAATAGGAAAGAAATATAAGTTTCAAATTTAAGAACACAGCTAGCGAGAGAAGGTACGTTAGATCTCTTTAGGCAATGAGACATGATTTGGCCTTCACTTTTGATTGCAGGGGGTCTTGTCACTTTAATAAATTAGGAATCAATTTAACTGCTTTGTAACACTAGGACTTGGGAGAGTGTTTGTCATACAAAAAAAGAGATAAAAAGAACTGGTTGTTTGCTTTGCCAAAAGCAATCAAAGTGCTTTGACAGCTTTCCTTTTACCGACTGTTTTCTTTATTTGGTTATTTCCATTTTCTGCAGTATTATCTCCCCTCTTTGTTTGAACTTACGAGTGGTTTTTCATTGCTCGCAACTGTTCAACTTTGACTTACAATTTCTAAACCAAAGCTGGATAATCAATAACATAGCATGTTAATTACTTGGTCATGAACTTATCAAAGTTTTACTTTAATATTTAATGTTAAATTTCTACTATATGAAATCTATGCTCCAAACTCCAAAGAAAAAGAAGGCAATTTGCCAGCTCAGAGCTTTGCAAATCATGCTTTGCTAACGAACTCCACGTCAAACAGTAGTACGGAATCAGGAGGAATGACACATGAACCTGCATCAAATTAGGTATAAGTTTTCCCTTGGCTAAGAAAAATGGTAGAAGAAAAATTCATGCAGAAAAAGAATATGTGAAAAATGTTCCTTGTGAATAAGGCATTGCTAATGCTAATTGCTAGCCTTCAGAAGCTTGACATGCTTTCCTTTGTTAAGGCTTCTCTGCAGAATTTGTTTTATATATGTTTTCACTATTGTTTTATAAACACCTTTCTACGGTCTCCATTTTTTTGTTATGACATATGATCAAAGGATGAGTATGTCTTGGTATGGTTTTGGCACAAATGATTTATCTTTAAGAACTTAATTTAACGGTTCCCATTTACCTATAAATTATATATTTAACAAGTCCATCTAAGCATATCAGACATATATTAACAGCAACTAACTTGTAATATTAAGCAATGTCACTATTAGAAGACTTCCTAAGAAATCATACTTTTCTTAACATTAAGTGTGCATTTTTCTTGTTTATTCTTCTCCACTGGTGATTGAAAAGGAAAAGAACAGAGAAATATAGCTTCCTTCTAGTCCGTCTTCTTCTCTTATTCCGCATTGTTATGTCACTTGCCGAGTGCCACAATCATCAAACTAAGCTCTTGTATATCAAAAACTAAGCAGATCCTAAACTAAAGTAACCAGTACTTTTCCCTAGACTAGAGTGACACTATACATTGATACCAATTAAAGATAAACACCAGCACAATCTTTAATAGACCGAGTTTTACACAATGCAAAACAACTAAGTGTAGACAAAAATTCATCTTTATTTTCCACACAAATATAATGTCAAAGAAAAAGTACTGTTTAGCAACACATATCAAAAGGAAAAGTGTACTTGCCTCCTCTACAACCAGCACCTCTTGAGCCATATCCAAGTTCTGGAGGAATCTTCAGTGTACGTTTCCCTCCTATGTTAGGAAAAAGTAAACAATTTTACCTGGGCATGTCATAAAAAATGAATTCCACTGATAAAAAAAGTACCTGCAAGCATGGGGGGAACTCCATCACCTCCTAAAATGCCTTCATCCCAACCTTTAATGACCTATTTGGTTCATGGATAACTTTTAATTCCTGAACATGAGAACTCTATAATATGACTTACTTATGACAGGTAGCGCTCATTAAATAAACATGGAAATTTACTCTATGATTTTCATTAACAATTCTTAAGAAGCAATCCCAAATGGGGATCCACCCAAATGGAAATTTACTCTATGGTTTTCATTTACAAAATGTCCACCCCAAATGGTTTTTGGCGATCGTAGATCCGGTGGTTAAACGCGGGTAATGCAATTTGTGGCGGTTTTTAACCGCCAGAAACTGCCAAAATAACCGCCACAAATTTCATTAACAATTCTTAAGAAGCAATCCCATTTCTGATTTCACCAGTTATATTTTCTTTCTTATCTATCAGAACTGAACTTGATACCAAGAGTTTTATAACAACTCACGCACACCTTAACCAACTGAGCTAGACTTCTTAGTAGATTTTGTGCATATTAGTTTCATTCTAAAGATGGTTCTCAAAATTAATTTTATCAAAAATTTATAGCTCATATCAGACGGAGGTTCTCAAATACTAATGTTAAAATGCACTAGAGAAAACACATTAAATTTGTTATCAATATTGCTGAATATCGCTGATTATAGTTATAGTGTATGAAAAAAATATAACTATCTATCTATCATTCATACCTCTCCAACACCGATACGAAAAGTTAGTGGCTTGCCACGATTGTAACTGCTATCAAAAACTTTCCCATTCTCCAATCTCCCCACATAATGCGCCTGGAAGCAACTAAATTGGTCAAACATAACATAGGACTTTACCCAAAGTGGATAGTATCATTAAATGACCAAAATGCCCAAGCTCAACACAGGTTGAGTATGAAGTGAACTCCTTCACTACCACACAGCATTTTTGTGCCATGCCATCATGAATATATTAAGTTAGATATCGATGTATAACATATATTATTGGGAAAAAAATTGTTAATTCTCACGTCAGCATTCGACCAAACGACTAAATTCAATTAGTGAATATAAGTAAAAGAAAATTTTTCTTTTATGAGCTCACTTTTGGAGTTAAGTTAAACTATATATTAGTTGGTATCACAGTAACTTTAGCTGTAAAAGTTAGTTGTTGGTTAGTTAAACCAGTTCATTTCGATATACTTATAATTTTTTAAATCAGAATTTTCTACTTAATCATGAATTCTAACTTTTTTCTTGTGCATGTCACATAGTTTAAAATCTATAATCTCATGCATACTATTCTAACACTCATCGAATAGTTTCATGAATTGTAACACAAATATATATAAGTCATATAATTATTCATAATTTATTTTAAAAAGTATTAAAATTTGATTATAACTAAATATTATAATAAATAAATAGTTTAAATTATATTTTTATTCTTTATTTTTTAAAATTTATTTTGATTATTTATCTTTTAAAATATTCATTTTGTTCTTTATATTTTAAATTTGGATCATTTTGAAATAATAATTATTACAACACATTTTAAATTATTTTATGATTAATTTAAGATTTGTGTCTCATTAGATTTAGTTATGTGAAAATTATAAAATTTAATTCATTTTTCAATAAAAAGAACTATAAACGTATTAAATATCATGTAAAAAGTATATATATCTTACAAGTAATTAAAAAATAATTTGCAAATATATATATATACAAATTTTGATGGACTTTTAAAAAAAAAATTGATTATCTTAATTGAATATCACATGACTTTTTATATTAAAAAATGTCTTAATTGAATACCACAAAAAAAATTTATAATAATTTTTTTTTAAAATTCATTGAAATCTTAGTCTAATACATCTCTTAAGAAACTAAAACAGTATTTTTTAAAAAAAAATTAGAAAACTAAAAATATTAATTTTAAATTAAAAAATTATTCTAAATTTTATAAATAAAATTTTTTTAAACTTAATTACTTTTTCATTAATTTAAAAAAATGGTGAACACACTTTACAAAATAAATATATATATATATATATAATATTCTAGTTGTTCTTTGACTCACTTTTATGTAATTTTAACAATATTTGAGGTTTTTTTTTAAATTCAAATAGAAGTTGTGCTTAATAGTTTTCATGCAAGTGAAACTAATGAGATTGATTTTAGATTTGAATCAATTAAAAAATGATTCAAAATTATATCTCAAAAATAAAAAATAAAAAATAAAAAATGAAAATAAAAATAAAAAATAAACATTTTAAAGATAAATAACTAAGATGAATCTTTAAAATAAAATAAATAATTAAAAATATAATTTAGTCAAATAAATATGATAAATAAAAATTAAAATAGATACGAAATTAAAAAAAAAAATCTTATAAAAAATAAAAACATTTTTATAAAAAAAAAATCTTAAGAATACTCTCACGTATAACTAATTTCATTTATATAAAGATAAAGTGATGATTTACAATTTTTAATTAGATATAAGTTCATGATCAAATCCTATCCTAGTTGATAAATTTTTTGATTTTAGCTGATCAAGATTGTAAGAAGATGAAAATTATAACCTACTTGATAAGTCTCTTGATTATTAAAGACCGAAATCATATTTCAGTCGATAAGTTTATTGATTTCAGCTAATTAAAAAAAATAAAAAATATGCAATTAATATTAACTTTAATATCAATCATTTTTTTTTCATAGGATCATAAATTTAAAGTTTATCATTATCATTGTAATTTTTAAAGATTAAAAAAATCAATTTTTGTCTCATAAACAAAGAAAGATACTTTAAATTCATTGTATCAATTTTAATGCAAGCTAATGGTTATTTGAGTTTTTACATACACTTTAGTGAATGATAATTTTTTTTCTTCTATTAAAGATAAAGTGATCAGCTCCTCTAGAAAATAAAGATTGTAAAATAATGCTGTTAACTATAATTTTACGCTCAAGTTAAAAATCAAATATCAATTTTTGATAAACGATTTAAAATGTGGAGTCACTTGACTTAATAAATTTTGATAACGAAAGATAATTCAATGGCATATGTAGAGAAAAATAAAAAATAATATTCTTCTTTAAATATATTTTTACAAAATTATTTTCAAAATCAATGAAAAAAATTTGGTTCACTAAAATAAAAAATCGAAAGGAAGAGTGAAATAGGGCCATAAAAACATGAAGGCCCAATTTGACATATCAAAGTTAGGCCCATCCATACATAATTCATTGGTCTCAAAAGACTATTCTACCCCCCTCGCAAATTTCCTTCGCATATAACCTAACAACCTTAACAGTGGCAAATGAAAACAAAACAGCGCCTCTTTCATAAAGCAGAGTCCGCAAGCGCAGTTTGCATTCGTTAGGGTTGTCGTTCGGTTACCTCGTCCAACCAAACCAGGTATTGTAACAGCCTTATTCTTATGTTCTTACTCTTTAGATGGAGTGATGTTGGAATTATAGAGAGGTTTTCTTCTGAATCCAAGACTGCAAGTGCTTTGTTTTAAATTTGCCTAGCGTGGTAACTCTACTGAAATCTTATGTTAGGCTATTTCATGTCATCTAGTTTTCCATGCAACCTGTGTATTTAGTTTGATCAATATGATGTTTTTTCTTCAAAGTTAAAATGTGGAATTAATTTTGTCCAGTTAAAAAGAAATTTGATAATTAAAATTCAAAATGTTTAGGATAAATTTATTAATTTTAAAAATATCTGAAAAAATGGAGTTGAGTTAAATTTTAAGATTCGTTCCAAACATTAGAACTCATGAACTAAAAAATTTAATTGAATTACTGATTAGTAATGAATTTGATTCCAAAAAGGTCCCAGTTAATACTTTGAAATCCAAATTGAAGTATAGCAAGGTGAAAGGAAGTACAAGAGAATGGCAAAGTCTTTGAGATCAAAGAAAGAGAAGAGGCTGAGGGCCATTCGAAGGGAGATTGTTGAACCCTTCTATGACAAGAAAGAAGCTGCTAAGCTTGCCGCTCAAGAAGCTGCCCTTGCTGCACCCAAGCTGCCACTCCCTTCTCGATCAAATACTGCCATGGATGTCTCTACTTCCACTAACGACAACACCATGGGTACCATGTCACTTCTTTTACTTTATGGTTTATTCCTTCCCTCTGCTTTGTTTATGTGAAATGTGAGAATTACCTGAGTAGTTCTGATTATATGTTGATTTTTGTGAAAGAATTTTGTTTGTATCTGTTAAAATGCATTAAACAGAGGGAAGTGGATCCTATACTACTTGTTACTATGCTGTTAATCAGTAAGCCAAGAATTAAAGCTATGGACTCTTCTTTTAAACATCAAATTGCTAAGCTAATCAGGGGACTATCATTCATGTCATGCTGATTGGAACTTTAGTTAAAAAAGATGGTTTGCTTTCTGAGCATCAACAATACCTTTGTGAAAGATGTGTGGCATAATATAATTGTTATCTTAAAGAAAATCCCAAATTCGTACTTCTTTTTAATTATTTATTTGCATCAGATTCCCTTGCAAGAACAATCTAATATCTTATATTTGCTTTTAAATTTGCCAGATGTGGAGATGGCTGATGGCGTTCAAAAGATGGCCTCGTTAAAGCCTGTTGGTGGAATAGGGAAGAAGATGAAAAAGAAATTGAAAATAGCTAAGAAGAAGCGTCGTGGTAAGGGAAAGCTCAGGAAAACGCACATATAAACTCAGAATAGAGAATGGTAATCATAACTCATTTATTTCCATTTTCCAACATGAATTCTAACATTATATCTTGCCATTGCATATTACATGCATCTGTTTTTTTAAATATAACCATCATATTTGTATTTTGAGAAACTCTAGCTGTTCAAATGGCTAGTCTTTAATAATTAACATTGTTATTTAAGAATGTTAAATTAATTTGTTAGTCCCTGATCTATTTGAGGATTTTTAAATAGGTCTTTATGCTTTAAAAGTTTGTAATTAGGTCCTTGAACTTATTTCCATCAAAAGTAGATTGAATATTCTTGATTCATGATAAAGTCTTCAATAGGGGCCTTTATGAAAATTTTGAAATAGTATAGGAACAGGGTGCTAGTATTTTTTTATTCAGTAGTTCCCATCACTATTTGGAAATTTTTAAATAGATTGCCATACTTTAACCAGGATCAAGATTATCACATCTAACTTCAACGGAATCTTAATCATCCAAGGACCCAATTATAAATTATAAAGACATTTAAAATTTTTAACATAGTTCAAGGATAATCGGTCACTTTAATCATTTAAGAAACATAAGTGTTGTAACAGACATCTTTATGTAGTTAGTCACTAGGTCGTGAAATAAGTATTATGACATTGTGATTTACAATACGCATGAAGCTTGGATGCTTCTTAATGATACAGATATAGGGATGTGAGAGATTCTTAAAAAATTAAGATAAGATGCAACTTAGATATGTGAACACAACACACACGTAACAAGGTCAAATGACACTAAATAGCAAATTTGGCGACACCTTTAATAGCTATTGACAGGAGTTAAATTTGTCAATTCAATCACTATGTTGAAAGTTCTTATAAAATGTGTCTATAAAATTTCATGTAATTTAGAAATTTATTGATATTTCCTTTCATTACTTTATTTTAATTATATAATATCGATATATAAGTTTTTTTATTAGATTACTTATCAAGAAATGTCTGAATCATTTAAAATTTGGCATACATGATCATTGAGATAATATAATGTGATTCAACTCAATTGATAAATACTTGCACGTGTCATTTGATCTTGTCATACAAGTGTGTGTCTATATATATATATATATGAAAGCAAGTATCCTCTTACTTTAAGAGTAAGTTTACTTATGATTAATCGTCAATTTTAATTAAACAAAATATTAATTAGTTTTCAAATTTTTTAAAATTTTGCAAATTTGATGTATGTATTAAGAATTTTTAATTTAATAATTAAATTGTTAAAATTTGATGGAGAACATAAGTTATTGTGTAGAATAAGTGGGCCCCTCCTCTCTCTCTCTATGTATAAATAACCCAGTTAGGTAAAGGAATTTGCTATAAATCATGGTAGAAGACATTAATAACATTAGATGTCATACTATTCTGATAATTGACGTTTGGGGTGTATCAGTCTATTTGTCATGAATATCTTTAACATGGCAGAGCATATCTGTTTAAGAATCGTGCAGGTTTTTAATTATGTGCCATGTGGATTGAACGTTTGGTCTAATGCATTGACACCTTGGTTGTGATATTTGCTGGTGTAGGTTGTGGTGAGCTAGATAAAAGTCTTCGTGCTATTATCTTGATCAATGAAGACTGTTCAAATTTTGATAAAAGAACATGAAGGCCATTCATATCTCAGCATTATAAGCTGAGGACCTTTTATTAACTAGGCTTAACTATTGAGGTACAGCACAATTATAGTTTGGAGAAGTGGTTGATGTTGATGACTCTTTCTGAACATGAAGGATAGGCTATTTAATTCTGCTCCAACCATGTACTTGAATGTGAAAACTTGATAGAGCTATTTACGTTTCTTACCATTCTATTTTTCTCAATTTTGTTGCTTTATGAAAGTGACCTTGAAGAACCTGCAGCGATTTTAATTCCTGTATGGAAGTTACTTTTGAGGTGTCTCGTCAGTTTAAAATGTTTTATTATATGAAATGAATTAAAGCAACTTAAGGTTGTGTTTGTGTGTGTACACTAATACATAGTTAAATTTTTAACTTTTAGTGATTAGCTAAATAAATTATAAAAATTAAACTTTAAACATAAAAATCTATAGAATATAATGACACAATAATCTTCATGTTACGCAACGAATATAACAAATGGAAAAACAATAAACTCAACATATTACAACATAAAATTTGATGAAAAGATTAAGGAAGAGAAATTAAAAATACTTTATAACTGTTTTAAAGGTTGATAGATCAACCTAATTCCGCAAGTCACTATAGGTTAGGTGAAGTTAGGATTTTAATCCAATGTAAAACTAGGTTCAACTTAATTCAACTTTTTTTTAAGTAGGTTGAGGGTAGGTTGAGTTGAGTTAGACTATTAGACACCTAATTTTATTTTTGTACATTGTAGGAGTGATTGTGCCATTATATAAGACTTTTATGAAACCGTGTTCAATTTTTATAATTCTTTTCGATAGGCATTAGTACATTCTCAATAGGTTTTTTTTTTTTTTTTTTTTTTTTTTTTTTTTTTTACTTTGTATAAGGGTATTTATTATATTTAAATGTTTAAAATTAAAAAATATGACTTAAATAGATGTTGAATCCATACAAAATAAAGTTGTGTCCATTTTAATCTACTTAATTTTAGTTATTTTTTTATTTTTTTATTCTTTTAATTTTAACTACTTTTGTTTTCGTTTTTTTTTTCTTTCAAAATTTGGCTCTTGTAATTTTGAAATTTCTATTTTAGTTTCTATATATATTATTTTATTTTTTTCTGTTATATTTAACGACTAATTTAATGGCAAAAACCGATAAATTAGACTCATTAAGAAGAGAGATTTATAGAAGATCATGAAGACAGTATCGAATGAAATTTTATATTTTTGACACCAACGAATGAAATTTTATTAAACCTCAGAAAGTGGGAATATAATGTCTTTTTTAGAAAACAAATCAGGTTTAGTATATAATTTGGTTTATTGCCAACAAAATAAAATTATAATTTGATCTATGAACTTTTTAAAAAATTTAATAACGTCTCTAAACTACAAAAATGTAATTGTTTTTATTTTATATATATAT